TTCGAAATGGAAAACGCCAAAGCAATGGCGACCCCGATGAGCACGTCCGACCACCTAGACAAAGACGAAAAAGGTAAGGAAGTTGAAGTCAAAAAGTATCGAGGTATGATCGGATCCCTTCTTTATCTTACTGCTAGTAGGCCGGATATCATGTTTAGCGTATGCCTTTGCGCAAGGTATCAATCATGCCCGAAGGAATCACACTCAACGGCGGTGAAACGGATCATGAAATACCTTGTAGGCACGGTTAACGTTGGACTGTGGTATCCAAAAGGCACTTCGTGTCATCTTGTTGGTTACTCCGACTCGGACTTTTCCGGTTGCAAATTGGACCACAAAAGTACGAGTGGGACTTGCCACTTACTTGGTAGCTCTCTAGTTTCATGGTTTAGCAAGAAACAAGTCAGTGTTGCGTTATCCACAACCGAAGCGGAATACGTTGCCGCCGGTAGTTGTTGTGCTCAAATCCTTTGGATGAAGCAACAACTCGTGGACTATGGCCTTAGTATCAGTCACGTTCCTCTTCGTTGTGACAATACTAGCGCCATTAGCTTGACGAAGAACCCCTTTCTTCATTCAAGAACGAAACACATTGACATTAGGCACCATTTCATTAGAGATCATTTTCTCAAAGGTGATGTCGAAATTGAGTTTGTTGAAACACACAACCAATTAGCCGACATTTTCACAAAACCTTTAGAGAAAGAGTCGTTCTTCCGCATTCGTAGTGAACTCGGAATCCTTGACTCCACGATGATCTAATTTGTGCATTTTATCATTCTTTTATTATTACTTGAACATTTACTAACTTGAGCGTCGGAGGGTTTTCTAACTCTTTTTTGCAGGGACGGTTCGAAGTGAAGAATTCTGGAAATCAGGGGGAACCAGCGATGGGTAGGCCATACCATCGCTGGGAGGGAAGTTTCTTTTTTTCAGAACCCCTCTTCCCATCGATGGGTGCTTCTTCCCATCGATGGGTAATTGACTCTATTTTTTTAAACCTTTTAACATATTTCCAGAAACACCCTACCCATCGATGGGTACTTTATCCCATCGCTGGGTGACGGACTTTTGTCAAAAACACTTTTTCCAGAACCTCCCCTCCCATCGATGGGAACTGTCTCCCATCGCTGGGTGTTTGACACTTCTTTTTTTTAAACGTTTTATCGGATTTCCAGTAGCCACCCTCCCATCGATGGGTGAGTTTGACCATCGATGGGAAGGCAGCCTTGATTTCTCCTTTGCTTTCCAGTGGCAACCTTCCCATCGATGGGAAGATCTACCCATCGCTGGGAAGGCGGAAACTTTTTAAAAAAAACTCAGGACCGTTGGAACTTCATTTCAAAATTCGAACGGAATTCTCTTCTCTCCCTATAAAATCCCTTCACCCTTAGCCATTTTAAACACACTTTTATCCTCTCTAATTGCCTTGCTCAAGTCTATTCTACTCAACTCATTCATTCTCCTTTGTTTTTCACGCCACAATCATGGCCGTAGGAAAGAAGACAAAAGCCTTGAAGAAGAAGGCCGCCGCCGAGGCAACGAGTTCTGCGCCTCAACCTTTCCCATACCTGGACGGGTCCTTCTTGGAGTTCGGGTCGGAAGAGGAACTCTCTCGTTTCATCACCTATTTCGCCAAGCGCCCCATCTCTCCGCCAAGGGTGCTACCCGAGCCATACCCTCAACAGAAGGGTTACTACGACCTTGACAATCAACTCAAGGAGTCGGGTCTGTGGCCCTTCGTCTCCCGCAGTCGCACCTCCTTCAATCCCGCCTACATTCGGGCTTTCTACTCCAATCTCCGCCGGGACGGGGACACTATTCGCAGCAGCATCAATCTCGTGGACTTCAAGTTTGATTTGGCTACCTTTGCCCGGGTCGCAGGGCTGCCCACCCGCGGTGACGACATCGCAACATATGGCGGCGATGATTGGATCCTCAACAACGAGGCAGTGGTCATCCGAGAGCTTGGAATCACCAACCTCGTCCGTCACAGCGGCGCACCAACCATTCACTCAGCCCCGCCGGAGAAGCGCCTTCTACTCTACATCCTCACCCGGATTTTTCGCCCCCGGGACGGCAGCCACACGTGTCTCTTCAACGAGGATCTCAAGGCCGTTCATGCAATCACCCATGGCGCCTCGATCAATTGGGCGAAATACGTCATGATCCACATGGCGGATTGCGCCTCCATCACCACCGAGCGGAGCTTGCCATACGCCTTCCTCGTCATGGATCTCATCGTCTCCGCCGACATCCACATCGCCGGGCCAAGCACGAAGATGACAAAGATTTAGATCATCCAAGATAGCACCTTCCGGAAGAAGTCTGGAGACCAAGACGGTGCAGGACCAAGTCGGGCTCCAGCCTCCGCTCCCGCCAAGGCCTCCTTACAGTCCATAGCCGATACCCTGAATCGGCTAACCATCACCGTGGACGGCATGGGCCAATACTTGGAGCGGATGGATAGCACGCTGCAACGCCAACACCACGACATGAGGGCGTTCTTCCGTGGCATCAACTACGTCCCGCCGCCCTTTGACAGCACCTTCCTCGGCCAAAACTATGAAGGCGAGGACGAGGAGGATAACTCCTATGCTCCGTCCTCCTCCCCCGACGAAGCCAATTTTGAGGATGCGGTCGACGGGGATCCCATGGACGTTGAGGACGACGAAGAAGACGATGACGCCGAGGACGAGGACGCCGCTGCCTAAACTCTTCTTTCTTTTCCTTCCTTACTATGATTGTTTTTTATTATTTCCATTCCGTTGTATTCCGCATTTTCTCCTTTTTTAATGAATAAAAGTTTACTTTAAAGTTCACTTTTAATTCTTTTTGTTAATGTCAAAAGGGGGAAGATATCAAGGTTATGCATAAATTGAGGGGGAAGTGTTTTTAAAATAAAATGGCAACTATTAAGGGGGAACATTTTGTAAGTCTCTAAGTCTTCCTTATATGCATAACCTCATCTCGTTTGCCATTATCAAAAAGGGGGAAATTGTTGAAACACGGGCATGTCACGTTTTCGTACTAAAGCCGTGTTTGTTTTTATGACAGGTTTTGATAATGCCAAACCGCTGTGATCAAGTCAAACTTTGAATATGCAAGGCGAAGAAGGAAGACAAGAACAAGAGCTAAAAGAAGACCAAGAACGAAGACCTTAGTTTTAGTGTCATTGAGTCGGTCTTCATTGTGATCAAGACCGACCCAATCTTTACACATTGGCTCTTTAGGCTAAATTCCTTCATTGCATTTCTTAAATCATAAAAATGTTTTTTAAACATGTTTAAGTCATTAAAAACACTTTGTGTTCGCCCAAACAAAAAACCAAGCCATCCAGCGTTCGGGTTCTCAGAAACCGGCGTTCAGCTCTCGGTTATCGGCTATGGTTTTTGGCGTCCGAACCAACCAAGTGGTTTTCAACTTTTTATGATTGGTTTTCACTCTTTGGCATGTTTAAATGGTTCTCCAACAAAAACACCTTGAAAACCATCTTTTGCTTTTGGTCGTTTGACAAAAATCATTCAAAACGGCATAAACTTGGCTAGCCGTGGTTTTCACTCAAATGATGTGGTTTTTAAAGTGTCTTACTTGATTTCTTAGCCAAATACATCAAATAAGTGTTTTAAGCACTTGGTTTTTATTTTGGAGAACTTTGAATTTTTCGGTCGGGTTTTGCATCGGCTGGCTAGGCCGTGGTTAAGGCAAAAACCATGGGTTCTTGACTAACCACCCACCCAGCGATGGGAAGATCTTCCCATCGATGGGTAAGCGGCCCCTCAGCCAAACCAGTTTCCAGAACCATGCCAAACAGCGATGGGGAATTCTACCCATCGCTGTTAAAGCCTTGGTGCAATATTAACACAAGGCAGAACGACCTTGCCCAGCGTTGGGAAACCTATCCCATCGATTGGAAACCAGCGATAGTAAGGGTATACCATCGATGGGAAGGCATGACCGTTGGTGGTCATTAAAGGTTGATTCTTTCCTTGTTTGGAAGTCAACGTCCCACCCAGCGATGGGAAGCTTGTACCCATCGATGGGTAGGTGACCGTTGACTTCAAAACTGAAGGAAAATCGGCTTACCAGCGATGGTTGAGTCTAAACATCGATGGGAAGCCAATATTCTGCAGATCCCAAATCTTTTCAATCCCATAAATCAAGCCAATCACCCCTTTAATGCATTGGTCCGTTGGAGCCTTCTTTGGCACTATAAAAAGGGGTGTTTGGGTCTGCTTTTCTCATCAATTCACTTCACATTACTCCTATTATCATTGCATTCAAACAACATTATTTTCCATAGCTTTCTAGAGCCAATTTGTGTGAAGTTTGAGTTGTTCTTGAGCGTACTTAGTTTACTCATCATCTACTCTTAAAGAGAGTCTTGTTCTTGAGTGTTTAAGTGTTGTATACACGTTAAGGGAAGCTTGTTTCCCTTGGTTGTACAAAGGAAAGGTATTTTCCTTCGGGTTGAAGTCTTGGAGTGCGGTATCTCCGAGCAAGTGTTGTTGAGGCTCGTGGGACTCGAGTTCTCAGGTTGTAACGGTTTGTTAAGCACCCGTAAGCTTAACGGAAGTAGTGTAGCTCGAGAGAGTCTCTCGGGAGACTGGATTAGCCACACGTTGTGGTGAACCAGTATAAATCTTGGTGTGCTCCCTTTACGCTTTCTACGCTCTTTATTTTTCACGTTCTTAATTTTTTTTATTCCTGCGATTTCTATGATCAAACGCTATTCACCCCCCCTCTAGCGTTGGTCACTTATTCTAACAA